TGTGTAATTTGTTTCGCCCATGTTCGGTGATAAGTAGCCACACGGAGGGATGTAACCAGGAGAAAGATGCGTGTGTTGGTCACAGTGGCGACTCGCGTGGAGCTACTGCAACGTGAGTGGAATGTTGCAGTTAGGGTCACGATTTACCTCGGATCTCTCATTTTGAGACTAGCATTTCTATTGTCCATTCCAGTGCATTTTGTGGTGTGGCTTTGCGATACCGTGAACGCTTAACGAAGCACTGTGACATGCCTATGCGAAACCTTGACCTCAGTCCCTGTGAGCCAATTTTAGGATATGTAAGAACAGTAACTATGAATGAAATACTTATTTAACTTTCAGGAGAGAAACCATTCCTTGGTAGTCATTCCACACCCAAAGAACCTTTCTCCTGGATGACCTTTAAGGCGGTTAGTTGTTGTGGTGCTATGTGGACTTTATATTTGGGGACTTATTTTATATGCTTCGTTTGCCTTTATCGGGTTCAGTGTTAACCTAGTTGCCCTTGTTTCGAATGAGGATTTCGCTGTTTGGATGTTGGCACCTTGTATTTGACAAGAGTGAATATTATTGTGGTGTGTGAAGTGAACCTTATGCGAGGTTTTGTAATTCACTGAACTTGCGTTCCTTTATGAACGAATGAGTAAGTCAAGCATTTTCTCGGCTTCTTTCGGTCATCCCAAATGCGAGTGGTGCTATCGCGTAACTAGCTGAGATGTCGTTCTTTTGAGTGCGCTGCAGCAATGCTATTGAGGCATTTGTCAGAGTTGGGTAATTGACTAAAGCCGAATTTATTTTCGTAGGTTTATGAACGAGTGTGTGACCTGGGCTCCGGTTTGATTAATGTCTGCGGTTTGAAGGGTCGCGAAGGTGGAAACTTCCTTGGCATCTATGGCAGAAACTGTGCTGATGTGGGTTTTGTTTTTATTTATTTGATGTTGCTCTTGCTAGCACACATTTCCAGCACTTATTTTAACCACAAGAGTGGTTTTGGCCTTTGTGGTCTTGGTTAGTCGAAGAATGACAATTTTAACAATCGGATGGGCTTGTCACAACTTATGTAGTTATTGGTCTCATAAGACGCACCAAGATCGAAATGGCTATTTAGTTCTGGGTTGTATTTTATGTCGGACTCTACTTTTGCGAATCGCAGCCTTCGATTTGAGAGTGTCTTCGTTGTAGTGTATTTTGCGGACAGGTGTCTCACGGTACTTACACCAAAATCAATCATAGGAGGTGGGTTGGTCTCCGAACGCCACTATTACTCCTGAAAACTGCTTTATTACACAAACCTCAATAATTGCCTTGCAGCTTCAACGGTGTGTTTCTTTGTTTGTTCGTTTCCATTGGTTATTATACCAAATTATGTCAATTTAATCTGACTTCAAGCCGTTGCTTAATCGTCGTAAGTTATGTTAATGTAAATTAAGCGCATTTTCGTATAAGACTGTCGTAGAATGTCGCAGCATTAGACCTTTGGGTTCTGAATTAGGATGCATGCTCCTTGTGTAGCAATTGTCGGCTCATGGTTTCAGCATAGTGGTGTTTGTGCGAGGGTTCCTTGAAATCATGGCGAACACATGCTCTCAAATAAGCCGAAGCAATCAGACTGCAAATGGGGTTTTTAAATCCATAGCAGAGAAGTGTACTCCTCAATCACAGATGTTTCCTGGAAACCTGGTGTCCACACAGAATAATTTTCACAAATGCCCTGCTACGTTCTCCGTTATGTCAAGCGTTAGGGTTCCTGCATAAATTGTCTTCTTTATGCGCTTTGCCGTTAACCAAGGCACACGTCACGAGCAAGAGGATCCTTGATCGCCACGAGACAAAATACACGACCTCCAAGGAGGAAGAGAAGACAGAATCTGTAGACTAGACGTTTAATCAGCCACCAGTCGAGACGTACAATCGACTGTCAAAGCGATTTACTAGTGGCCCGCCATTGCTCTCTCGAATCGTGCATATGGCATCGAAAATGAATGAGAACTCTGAGAATTTGTGAATAGTGTCATCGTTAAAACAACCGCACTCCAAGACATTTGGAATGGAAAAGACGGCGTTGCACTAGAACTATCGCTATTCATAGTTTGGGGTACCGTTTGTAAGGACTCCATTCCTGAACCAATTGACTTTAGTGAAATGGGTGGTCCGAAATGTAATCGTGTAGCGTAATCAGTACAGGCTGTGTCCAGCTGAGTTTCATGCCGCTTCGTAGTGAACCGATTCGTCAGTGAGTTGTACTCCTAGAACCGCATCAAGAGTGTGTTTAGCTAAATGTTTTGTGGTACAGTATTGATGTCGCCTTATTGCTCATTTAAATATAAGGGATAACTGGATATCCGTGCGACTAATGGTTTCTTAATGCTGCGTGTCCTTCATTTAGTGGATTATTTCAGAATTCGCCTGCGCCACCTATGGCCTCGTTGCAGTTCCACTTTACGATACTCTAGGAGCGGATGCCACAAGGCACATTTGCAATCAGAGTGAGTCAATATTTGTGTCTACATCAACACAGTGCAGTTTTTAATGGACTAGGTATTCTCTCAACGCGATGCTGTGACAGTTTGGCCGCAAAGTCTGTAGCTGCACTTACTAATGGGATGCCACTGTTTAAAGATAGGTACTATAATAAACTGAGGAAAATCCTGACATTACTGTTTTCAGGTTACTTCTGTAGTAGTTACTGCATGTTACTTTGCATTCATTTTAATAGGCTAGGTAGCAGTAGTAGTTGGGTACTGTTTCATCAGAAGTGAACTAGCCGTCGTTGTAATACTGTTTTAGAGTTCTCACTTTAATGGCCTACATTTGCATAGGCGATCTTAGAAAGACTGGCAGATCTGGCTGCACGGAGAGTTAAGTTGTGTCTATAAACGTACATGTATCCTGCGCGTCCAAATACTGCCGTGGATAGGTAGTCAGCGTGTCATACCGCGGTTTGTGGGAAAGGTCCTTGATGGACGTGAACTGGCTAATTTAACCCTAATGAGGTCCATGTGAAATTACACAAAGGCACTCGTTATGACAATGGCACTGTCGAAGCTATTTGTGCTGTAAGCATTCATTAAATCGAGGGAATGTAGAATGAAACCATTGTCAATGTAAGTTCAGTTATTTTGGCA